TCTATTGTTGGTTAGTTGACCTCTATAGGGGGGTTTGTGTGCTGCTTCGATGTCCACTGGGTCCAATGGAGCTGGTCTATTTAAGAGTTCTTAAAAATGTTTCGTAGATCTGTTCTTGAATCTCTGTGATTAGCTTGCCTTCTTTGTACTTGACCAGTTTTTCTGGTTTACAATATTTCCCTGCTAGTTTCTTCGTTGTCATATAGATGTCATATTTCATTCTCTTACAGTTTAATCCGTTGTCATTGCTAGCTCTTCCATGTATTTCTGCTTGTCAGATCTAATTCTCCTCTTCACTATCTTGTATACTTCAGTGTGCTTTGACTTCCTCCGTTCTTGTTTGGCTGTTGTTAATTGCTGTCTTCTTGTTTTTCCCTTCCTGAATCTTGTTTAGGGCTTCGATGGAGATCCATTCCTTATGATGATGCGTCATGCGGCCCAGAACCTCCTGACACGTTGAAGTTAGCTCCTTTCATCCCTGTCCAAGGTCCTCCATAGTAGTTTTTCCTTGAGTAGATCCTTCATGGCTTGGAACTTGTTGTTAAGAGTTATTTTCAGTTGGTTGGGTTCGTCAGTATCTTGAAGGAAGGCTGTACTGAATCTTGTAATGTTGTTTCCCCAGCTGTCCAGTGTTTCCTTAGCTTCAGCTTCATCTTGGAAATCACCAGGTGGTGATCTGAATCTATATCAGCTCCTCTTCTGCTTCCCATGTCTTCCACTGACCTTCTGCACTTTTTACTGATGCAAAGACGATCGATCTGGTTCTCCGTGGTGTGATCCAATGATAACCATGTAGCTTTGTGTATGCGTTTGTGTGGAAATATTGTGCCGTCTATAACCAATTTGTGAATTCAAATCTCTCCCCATCATCGTTTCTTCCTCCCACTCTGTCCATGTCGTTCCATGACATCTTCATACTCGGTGTTGTCCATTCCGACTTTGGAGTTCAAGTCTCCTATCAGGATGGTGAGATCCTTTCTTGGGCACCTCGATATGATTGATTATAGCCTCTCATAGAACCGATTCTTATTGTCGTCGTTGCTATCATTGGTGGGTGGATAACACTGGATAAAATTCATCGCGATTCCCTCCTTCTTTGTTTTAAAGTGTGATTTGATGATCCTGAGTTCATGAGTGCTTTTGGTGCTTCTTTGGACAGCATCAGAGCAACTCTCTAAATATGCGGAGCATTTTCCTCTTCGTGACCAGAGTACAATAACATCTCTACCGAATCTAAATTTTGCTGTCCAGCTTGGGTCCAATGGGTCTCGCTGATTCCGAAAACAGTCAAGTTGCATCTCCTCATTTCCGTTGGTATGTGACTGATCCTCTCCGTCTCCCACATTATCTGTGCATTCCATGTACTTATATTAATTGTTGCTTAGAATTGAATCTGTAGTCTATTCAACTTTAATTCATCATTCAACAGATAAAAAAGTAAATTGTTAATTTCAACAATCATATAATTTCAGATCGGTTTTGGGTTTCTGGTTGTTAAAAGTCAAAGTTTTCAAAAAAATAAATTCTCAGCTCTGATGTTAGAATGTGATTTTGTGTGATGGGAATTAGTGAATTGAACAAGTCACGACATACTATTTGTGTAAATAGTAACTAATATCTGTTCATCACTACAAACGAAATCGATTCAAAAACCTCAATCAACAATATAACGGATGTAAAAATTGGTATTCAGGGCTCATATCATAAATATACCAAGTCAAAAATATTAAGATAACTGTTAGTGAAGTGAACGAGGACTCAGATGAAGACAAATAGTTTATTACTTGACACTAAATTACAGAATGTCTTGGTGAAATACGAAAATCACACATTAAGTACTTCATTTGCACACCCTCCATCAATTGTTCCTTACAAACTTCATCGTTCCTTCATTCCTGTTATTGTTACAATTATACTGTTTACATCGCTGTTCTCTTCAATTAAATCTTCTCAACCTTCTACTGCCGGGCATTCCACTTCTGATTGGTGTCACATACTACTTATATCTACAGATTGTAGTATCGTATATATAGTACAGTTATTACTTTTCAACAATTAGTCAATGATAAAGTGATTAATTCATTATAGATAGATTGTGTTCTCATTTAAATCACAGTTATGACAAAAATTTTCTCATATTTACAGATTCTCACTAAACACGTCAGTCATTAATAATTGCCAATCTCACAAATGAGTAATATTTTTAGAGATATATTGCTCCAATGTTTAGGTGAGAAGCAATAATCTATGAAGCCAACCAAGTCTGAAGTGTAGGAGAGAGAGTTGCCCATGGATAATATATCTTGAAGACAATCATATTATGTTACAAACTGACTAGTGTAAAATCTTAAATGGGCAGTGGACACATTCAAGTCATTTTAGACAGTTCTAAGTTACATTCATATTTATGTGTGATAACACACATATACACTGTTCTTTTCGATTATTATAGAGTTGAATCAGTCAAATTTAATCAAAAGTAACAGAAAATTTTCCATAGTTTTTCAATTTACTGACCTAAATAAAATCTGTGTTCTACCAAAGTGTAAAAAAATGTATTACTTACCTAAATACAATTGACAGAAGACGGTAAACTTAAATTTTATGCTGATTGATAGTTGTTAGAAGAATGAATCTGAAAAAGTGTAAATTGATTATTTATATCAGATATATTTTACAAATATTTTTACTATTTCTCTCTTAAAATCATAAATTCTGCAAAAAACGTTTATGCTGTAATTTACAGACCATTAAAATCAACTGATAGATATATTTTCGTCATGGATTGGGGTCAGCTAGCGAAACAGTAAAAGTCATTATGTTGAATAACCGTTTGGTCCTTGTATCAAATCCCTTAGGGAAGTGAATCCCAAACCATCTTTGGGAATAAATCTATGACATTCAAATCTCTACAGAAAAAGTTGTGTATCGAAAAAATCCATTGTGACTTATAGAAGACATTGATAATAATTAAAGATTGAAGCAATCTACACATAAATACTTAACCTATAGATTGTTATATATATATATCAACAGACATATAGATAAATAATTTTGATTTTGATTATTACCCTGAAGAAGTCCAGACAAGTTAGCTGGACGAAACGTTGGAATTAGTTAAATTTCAATCGCTGAGAATATTTCAAATATAATTTTCACATATAATGACTTCTCTATACTCGGCGCTCAATTACTGTCAAACTATTCGTTCTAATCTTGACGAATATTCGTATAAAATATAGATAAATAGTTAGTTACTTAATTGATTAGTTTATCACTTATATCACGATTTATCATGGAGCTTGCTTTAAACGAATAGTAAAATGACGAGTTTGTGATTTAAACTAAAAATTAAATAATCTCCGTAAAATTCATTACTGATAGATTTAAGTATAACTGGTCCCTATCAATTGTCTGTCTGTTATGATTCATTGAAGGAAGAAGAGATTATAGGGTATTACATAGGATATTGACATTTGTTAGTAAGATTGCTGAATAGTTCTTTAAATTCGTGATGAATATGAATTTTCTTCAGAAATCTTACTCGCGAACAGGAAATTTTTATTGTAATTATGTAATGATCATTCCATTTACTTACAGCTTAATTTTCTTATTCATTAGTGCAAAACTCAAATATATTAACATCTGTGCATATACGCAGAAGTATTAAAATTTCGAAATATTTAACTTAATACTTATCAAAAGCATTCATAGTTGGAGATATGTGTTTATCATTCTTGTAGATTTTTAATTTAATGATGAGACTTATCTACTGAGCTGCCAGTATACAGTATTGAGTATATTATTATTATTATTATTATTATTATTATTATTATTATGAAATCAGTTTTGTTAAAGCATTACAAAATATTCTGTAATTGTAAGTAATTTTCATTTCAAGTTGAAATCAACTGGGAAACCACATTGAAAACTAGAAACCTGATTCATGATTCATCCCTGAAAAAATAGGAACTTAGAATCCTATTCAGATGTATTAATGAAAAAGATGGATACATTTAAGATGGTGTATTTAACATATAAATACATCAATTAAGTTAATATCAATGAACTGTTAATAAATTACAGTTTTTTTACATTTAACAACGTATTCCAACAGTTTATTGTATAATAATCTACTTATCCTGTTGGATAATTTATTTTGACCGATATGATAGGCATATTTATTCTGACTCAAAAGAATTTCATCATTTGTCAGAAATTCCGAGTGGTGACCTAGGCTTTTGTCTTCCTAATATATTCGTTTTATTAACATTTTATCATCATTTTCGACAGTATGATTATTCATTGAGTAGACTACGCATCAAAGAATGTAAAGTTCAAATTATTTTCTGTTTCGTAACTATTTCCAATAAGCAGAACAATTTCTGAATTTACTTTATTAATGTTATCAGTGACTTCTGAATTTATATTTTTCGGTTACATCTCGTATAACTAATAACCAAATAAAATATACTGTCAATAAATTTTGGTCAGCCCTTCATTCTACAAAGCAGGCTAACTGTTTGAATATTAATTTTAAATTATAATAGAAATACCCCCTTTTTAACACATAAAATATTAGGTCACATGTGCCATTTCATAGACCAGATGATTGGTTAAAAATAATATTGGCGGGTCAAGATAACTAAGAGAGATTTTCATTGGTTATCGCATTTCCAAATTAACCAATGGATTATACGAGAAAGAAAGAAAAATATTCTATCAGTTAGATTGGTTGTTTCATCCACCCTTTTCTCTGTAAAATTCGCAGGGAGGTAATGCAAGTGAATTGTACTTAGCCTGCATGGAAGTAACGGTCTGAAAGATATATCGATAATATTAAATAACTGATCTGGATTTCAGGCATCTTCATTTAAGGATTTATTAAGTGAATAATTAAAAAGAAAACGTTATGGACAAATCCAATAGTTGAATAAACCGATAAATATTTATGTACACTGCATATTTGAACAAATTTCAATAAACTGATTAATAAAGGAATGGAACTTCAGACTATTGGTCCAATTACATTAGACTCATCAAATTGTACTGATTTACGTAGAGGACAGCGTGATTACCAACCAACAACAGTGACGCAAAAAGCTAACTTGAATACATGCAATCCCAGTTCAACAGCATGCGAATTCTATGATCTCTCAACAACGCAACAAATAGAAACACGTCAAGTGGAAATCAATAGAAACTATAATAATAACAATACTATACTTGAAAAAATTAAATATAACTATCAAGCATCATCTACATTTTCAGCCCCCAATCCGTCCTCTCCCAAATTACCACCGTCAATATTTCATTGTACATCAAATACTACTAAGGCATCAAGCATTACTTCTATTTCTCCTCCTCCTCCTCCTCCTACTGCTAATAATAACAGCAATATTAATGTAATGAACGCCCCAAAATCTTCACCTATATTACTGACGAATAATCGGCTTTCAGAATTAATATCGAATTGCTATGAACAACCTACAGCGAATCTATCTGTTGATTGTTCTAATGAACAAATAAGCTTAACAAACACTGAAAACTTTCCATCAAATACACTAAATTCTTTTGTTAATAATAAAATTAATAAATCTAATCAAAAAGATAATGAGGCAATCTATTATGATCATGTATCATTGAATAAATATTTAAATGAAAATAAAGACTCTGTACAGTCTACATTTTTGAATCTTCCCACTACAACATTATCGCATTCAACGAACATAACATGTTCAACATCCATATCATCATCGTCATCAAGCATGATAGAATTGTTTTCGACTATGAAAGAACCGATGAAAACCAATAATATTTCATCATTAAACAATCCACAACAATCAGCAAGGAAAATATCAAGTAGAACAACATCACCTTCAGTGTTAACTGAACATGAATTAAATAATAATCCTAATAATGAACAATATTTATCTTCTGAAATAGAACATTCTAAGTTGTCTAATTCTGTCGAGAATAGAATTAAATATTCAAATATATTAAACAATGATATTAACTTTTATAATAATACTAATCAATCGTCATTAAATTCTCAACGTAATTCGGAATTAAACGTAAATCTATCGACAAATGATTCATTGTTGATAATTAAATCCTCTTCCTCGTCCACCTCATCATCATCATTATTGTCATTAATATCTACTTCTATCCCATCAGTTACACCATCAATATCATCCACATCATCATCAATGTATCAACTGAATTCCGTGATCAATATGAATGAACCTACTTGTGATAGGCATGATTTATATCATAATGAATCAGTACCAATTATGCCATTCCCATGTACAACTATTACAGAGACAGTCAGTACAACTACATGTTCCAACTTATCATCTGTTGATTTTCCAGTTTGTTCTACACTTCCAAACAGTTCTTGTATTACTACAGTAAATTCTATGCTACCTACATTATCAACATCAATAACTGATCATTCAAGTAATAATAATAATTTATGTCAAATGAATAAATTTAATTTATATCATTTACAAAATCCATATTTGTTAACAAGTTTAGAAAGTTCTAAGTTTTCAATTCAATCGCATTTAAAACAATTTCCAGTAAATCCAATAAATTTTGTTACAACATGTTCGACAAACGTTACTTTTTCTACAAATACTACTAATACTGTCATAAATACTAATACAAACAGTAATAATAATAACATTAATGGTAATAATAGTGGTAATAGTGATGATGATGATAATGATTGTGTTAGTGGTGATGGTGGTCAGAGAGGTGGTGATAGTGACAGCAATTCAGTAATCCAGTTATATCAACAACAATCAACTGGTGTATTATCAAGATTCCCTACTCCATTAACTCTAATGTATGAGACTATGAATAATAAAACTAGTATCATGAATAATTTTCCGATTTCCCCTAGTGCTCCTACTTTTCCTCATCATCACAATCACCATCAAAATCAACATCATCATCATCATCATCAACATGTTCATCATCCATCTCATCTTCAGCATCAGCATCATCATCCCTATCAACCACCACCGCCACAACAACAACATCAACTAAATAGATATCATACGAATAATCCATATTTGAATAATTTACCAATGAAATTATCAACATTCAACTTGATTTCATCGTCATCATCATCGTCGTCGTCACCATCGATAACAACAACACCACCGTCATCAATGTTTTCATCATCATTATTATTAACAACAGATACAACGATAGACACTATGACAACAACCACAAAACCAACATTAATTACTGATGGGACATTAACACCAACAAATTTGCAATCAACTTATTTTCCTTATTCATTTGTCAGTAATCATATAATTACCAATAGTAATAATAATTCTATTAACAATGCTAATAATAATCTAATGGATCGAATTAATACAGTATGTGATGAATATCTACCATCAGATTGTAGATCATCAGGTGGAAGTAAGATCTAAAGAGATTTTTATGAGTTATAGCAATGTATATGAGTCATATTATTTTATTTCAAAGAGTGTATATTTGAAGGTGTCAATCTTAAGTATTCATTTAGTGAGTAACGAAATGATTGAAATACGCATATCGATTTATACTGTAGACTTTCTGATCTGGGATTATATAATAACTATATTCTATATTATATGATTCAAAGTCAATCTCAGTAGTGTAGATGGATTTTTTGTTGATCATCTTCTAGATAGCAACTATTAAAAAATATAGTTTCATTCATTAACTTTATTTATTCACTACAAATTGATGATATTCTCACTCTTTTAATTAATACTTTGTTCATTTTATCTTGTTCTCTCCATATATTCAGATCAAGTGTGATGAATCCAGTGAATCGTATATGTCTACTTAGTTTCATATTGTTTACGACTATTTAACTAAATGATTGAGTGCTTTAAATAATAATTAAGTTTGTATTTTTTTTAGAAAGGATTAGTTTGTTTCTTAATTGTTTAGTGTTCACGTTAATGACTTTAAACTATATTTTAATGAATGAATGACCAAGATAAAACATATTTATCTCATACTTATATTAATAATAATAATAATAATAATAATAATAATAATAATAATAGTTAATGATATTAGACCAGGATCTAAGTAACAGAAATCTGATTATTTCTTAATGTGGATTTCATAATATTACATAGTAAGATGTCATTAATAAGAGGTCAGTAATTAAGTAAATTATTTAACGAAATTCTAACGTAAATAACGATTTCACTTTGAATTAAAAGCTTTTATCACAAATAGAGACAAAGTAAATAATTTCAATAGTTGAGATCATGAGTCAATTGAAGCTAGACCGCCATGGAAAACCTGGAAGCACTGGACGACCGTCTCGTCCTATTTTGGGACTCCTCAGTAGTGAGCAACCGTGACCCCGCCTCGCAAGACTCGAATCCAGGACCTATCAGTCTATTGGTTAAGTACTCGCGCTCGCTCGGCTTGAATCCCGCTAGGTGGGATCGTGGGTGCACACTGCTGAGGAGTCCCATAATAGAACGAGACGACCTTCCAGTGCTTCCAGATTTTCCATTGTGATCTAGCTTCAACTGACTCATGATCTCAACCACTAAAACTTGATCATAGTTTAATTTTATTTAGCTAGTGAAAATTGTTTCAGAATTGGAATTTAAATGAGTAATAGTTATTTTAAACAAATGCCAAGTTGGTCTTATTTTAAAGAGGGCAGGAACAAAGATTTTAGTAAAGTAGTAGGAATTTATTTTATTACGTTTGGTTCTCATCAGCTGCTCGCAACCTGTGACAGTTAAAAATCATAATTACTAAATGGGTTTCAATTAATTACATGAAAGTTTAGTTGGAAGTTATATTGAAGATGCATCAGTATAGTTTAACAAGGATGTCAAAAAATTTAATTGGCTGAATAAAATATTGTAAATATATATAGCAATAAATATTACTCTAGCCAGAACTTATCAGTCAGCCAAACTATTAATTCTGTATAAAACAACTTGTTCAATAACTCAATCTAGAGTTGACAAGCGCCCCTTTCATGTTACCACTAACTGTATTTACAAATTTACGTGCACCTGTCAAAGCAACTAAATTGGCTGGACAGAAAGAAAGGCCGATCTTAGATTTTTTGGGCATACTCCAAAAAGCCTTATAACAAGAGAAAGGACAACTTTAAACAGTGCAATTATTAAACATCTCTTGAACACAGGACATCAAGCAGAAACCTTGCAGTCTTTGAAGGTGACTAATAAACAGCGAAGCCCCAGCCTTCTGAAGTTTGCTGAATCTCTTGCTATCAGGCGTCAAACATATGGTTTATGTGTTCAAAAGCAGATGGTTATTAATATTTCCTTGTCTTGGTGACAAATATCCCTTCATGGCATTCTTCAAATATTTCTTTCAATTATTTCTTTCATTTAATTACATCACTATGACTTCTAGATTAGTAATCTTATTTATTAACTAAGCTCCACTCATTTTATTCTTACTTATTATCAGCATTTACTGATTACGTACTCACTTGTTTCTAGCCATTTAGACTCCTGTTACAATCAATGTTGCAGAATTTTCTTTTACATAAGGTATGTATTAACAAGGTTTTATTCAGTCTATTAAATTTATTGACATCCTTGTTAGACCATACTGATGTGTCTTCAATATAACTTCCAGCTAAACTCATTCATGTAATTTCTTGAAACCCATTTAGTAATTATGATTTTTAACTATCACAGATTGTAAGCAGCTGACGTGAACCAGACGAAATGAGATGAATTCCTATAATTTTTCTAAAATTTTTGTTCTTGTTGTCTTCAAGATGATCAAGGAAACTATGTGTATAAGATTAGCTTTTTTTATTTGGCTGGGAATAACTTCAAAGTTTCTGGAAAGCGTTGAATGATATTCTATTCCGTGCTTTTTTCTTTATTTATGTAGTTTGTTTTGTTTTGTTCATGTGTACATCATCATGAAGTAGTCTTTTCATCGCATTTCTTCCCTTTAAAAATTTAATTTAACTGTGTACTATCAATTGGAAATAGTTCACTATATAAGCTTGTATGCAGCTGAAGAGAAAGCAAAAAATTTTAATAGTCAGAATTGGGATTTGCGGAGATTATAGTGGTTTTAATAATTGAACTCATTAGTTGATTTGAGCTAGACCACCACTGGAAACCTGGAAGCTCTAAACTACCTTTTCTTTCTAGTATGAGAATCCTCAGTCAGTCTCGTGGTTAGGCATTTGCACTCAAGACCGAAGGTCTTTGGTTCGAGTCCCGTTAAGCGGACTGTAGATACGCACTTTTAAGGAGTCCCATTCTGGGACAAAACCACCGTTCAGTGCTTTCTGGTTCTCAATGATGACCTAGCGTTGATTGACTCACGAATTCAACTATTAAAAAAATTATAATGAATTCATCATATTCTGCAAACAATATCGTTTTCGCTGTTTAAATTTTTTGAAAGGAATCAACTGCACAAATGTTTCAGTTTGCGTGTATGAATAAATTTAATCCCAAATGTACGGTAAAATAGTTTTCCTACTCATCGAAATAAAATGAACACGAAGTTGTTCAACTTTCAAAACACTATCAACTATCAGAAAAAACATACGAATTGAATCGTGATAAAGTATTTAAGAACCATAGTTGTTCTGCTATGTTACGTAAATTTAAACTAACAATTCGGTCGCACTATATATATATAGCTTTCTCTTAAATACTTTTCATTTGTGTATGCATCATTTATACTGTTTTTTCTTCTCACTTTTACCATTTCTCAATATACAAACAAATCTATGACAAAAATATCTTGGTTTCTATTTATCAATGGACATAAATGATACATCTTTCAAACTAGAAGTACGGTCAAGAAAAAAACGCAAACCGTATACACGTTACCAAACAATGGTTTTAGAAAATGAATTCATGGGCAATGCATATATCACAAGACAGAAACGTTGGGAAATTTCTTGTAAACTACATTTGACAGAAAGACAAGTGAGTAACAAATAACCGTGTTATTATTATTTATTATTATTCAATAAAATTTCGATGATATAAATAACCACAAAACTTGATGGATCTTTTTTTCTGATTTACATTTCACAATAAATCATGACATATCCAAATTTGGATATACTGAAGGGAACCTCTTATTTTTTGGAACTGTTGGTAGTTTAGAATTCCATTCCTTGTAATCTAAAGAATTTTGAGCCATTCAGTATTTTCTCCATATGATCACACAGAAGTTTCATTCTACCTAGTTTAAAACCGATTAACCAGTTCATTTATTGCTCTATGAACTAATATCAGCTCCGAAACATTTGAAAACCACGTTGTTGAAAAACTTTTTTTCAAAATTGATTCGAAAGTTGACCGAATGATAATGACTTATGAGGGCAAATTAGTAGAATGAAGCCCAAAAATATTTGAATATCAGAAGATCTACTATGCTTATATATGAAATAAGTATAAGAATGAACCTATTGTAGCGAATGAAAACTCAGATGGGAGAACCAATTTATTGGTTGATGCACAATCACACAGTGGTTCAGTAAAATGTGAAAATCATACATCAAATAGATCATTTACAAATCTTTGATTTGTCTCTTACAAGCTTCATCGTCCCTTCATTCCTGTCGTTATCTTGATTGCTTTCAGTTTCCTTCTCTTTTCTCTTTATTTCAATCTTCTGCTCGCAGACATTCTACTTCTAACTAGTGTTACAAACTACTTATGTCTGGTTAGCATACACCACACTATGACTGAAAGTTGTGAAAAAAATCTATGCTTTTATCAGATATGTACATTCGAGGATAAGCCACTAAACAATACATTTCTTTCCGACCAAATCACTTACTTAAGCTGCACATTTGTATTTATAGTTGTATGGTAAATATATTTCTGTAGAACGATAGGAAAGATTGCGTCAAAAATTATTTCGAGAGTTTAATTATTAAATGACGTTGCATAATAATCAAGGGGTTGGCGAAGAATAGTAGGATGAAAATAATTTGCGGATTATAATTATTCAAATGGAGATATTTTTAGTGAATTCCTAGATTATATTTATAATTATCAGTTATGAGATAGGGTCATTTATTGAGAATCGTTATTCTTTTTCCGTAACTGGTCAACTTGTATTAATTATTAAGTATTCTATAAGGCTTTTTCCTTTGCATTATATTTCTGTGTAGTCAGAGTTTCTCTTATAATATACATAACACAAGAAGTTTAGCATTACTTAATCATAAACATTAAAATTAGTTGGTCTTATTTCATTTTAAAAAAAAAACAACTTTAAATGTAATAATTATCCTACAACTGTTTAAACTACAATGAGATATGAAGAGTGAATCATTGTGTAAAATTCTATTTAATGTGTATCCTTCCATTATTTACTGCAATATAGAAATCAACTTTCTTCCTTGCGTGAAAAAAACCCCCAGTAAACTATACTATCTTATCTG